ATTTCAAGAGGAATCAGACAAGGATGCAGTCTTTCCCCCCTCTTATTCATTTTAGTCACTGAGCTACTCACTATTCATCTAAAGTCATCTAAAGTCCAAGGTCTAAATATAAATGATAATTCTATCCTAGTTAGTCAATTAGCGGATGATACAACCCTGTTCTTAAAAGACAGAAGCCAAATCCCAACAGCGTTAAAAACAATTAAATTATTTTCAGAGGCATCAGGACTAAATCTCAATATTGATAAATGTGAATTAATAAAAATACATGAAGGCCCGGAGACCTCCTTGTTTAACATCCCTGTTAAAAAAGAAGTCTGCTATCTAGGAATTTATATTACAAATGTTCCAAGTGATAGAAACCAGAAGAACTTTCTGAACACAGTAGAAAAAAACAAAAAAATTTTAAATAGTTGGCTTCAAAGAGATCTGACAGTATTTGGAAGAACTCTTCTAACAAAAATGGAATCCATTTCTAGACTGATATACCCTGCTCAGTCGTTGGCCATATCTCCTAAAATTATTAAAGAAATAAATAAAATGAATCTTGATTTTATATGGAAGAACAAAAATCACTACATTCGAAAAAGCGATTTAATTAAGAATTATGAAGATGGTGGTATAAAAGCTATAGATTTTGAAATTTTGAATGGAGTATTAAAAATTAAATGGCTTAAATCCTTCTTAATAAATAGAGAGGAAATTTGGCATACAATTCCGAAATTTATATTTGAAAAAGTTGGAGGAATGGAATTCCTATTAAGATGTGATTTTGAAATCCCGAAGTTGCCTCTCAAACTTTCTGAATTCCACAGACAAGTCCTCTTTTTTGGAAAAATGGTTTTCAAACATAACTTCAGCCCACATGATGTTCCGATATGGAATAATAGAACTATTTTGGATAGAAACAAAACCATATTTATAAAAAGTTGGATGGACAGAGGAATTTGGTCAGTGACACATATTTTAGACGAAAATGGAAATACCCTTTCACTTAAGAATTTCAATCTCAAATATGATGTTGACATTTCTGAAAATGAATATAATAAGGTGATTAAAAATATCCCAAGTGCTCTGGTTCATCTAGTTAAAGCTTCTATCGGTTATATATTTAATCCTAGACTCAAAATATTAGCAGTTGATGGGATAGAAATTTTCAATAAAAAATGTAATAATATTTTCCTGAGAAACAAATTAAACAAAACCTTTTGTCCAAACCCAATACTCCGATTCTCGTTACTACACAACTTTTCAAAAGGAGAAATTAAAGTTTTGAGAACCAACTATCTAAAATTCTCTTTACCCCCAAAGTATAAAGAAGTCCATTTTAAAATCTTGAATGATATTTACCCATCTAACCATTTTATACAAACTAGATTTAAATTCAATGTGGAAAAATGTTACTTATGCAAACAAAACGATGAATCGACTAAACATCTTTTCTATGAATGTGATCAAATTTTAATGATGTGGAAATCACTCCATGATTGGCTGAACTCCAATCAAATTTATATAAACAATTTCAAAGTTGAAGATATCTTATTTGGCATTATACTAAAAGATAAAAATAATGAATTTCTAATTAATAATCTCATAATCTTAACAAAATTTTTCATACACAAATGCCGATATCTCAAAAATCCACCTACGTGGAATAATCTCAAAAATGAAATTAAACTGCTGTTGAGATCCATAGGTAAAATGTCCTCCCCCAATGCTATAAAGCTTTATGATTTCATTATGAACACTAATCTCCAACTGCTTTTTGGATGATATACACAATTGACCTTGTTTGCTCTTTAACTTCCCCCTTGTAAAACTTTATTTATATTCACATAATTTGTTTTTTCATGCTGTCTTATTTGTATCCTTTCATGTTCTAATTTTTTTTTAATTTTTTTTTTTATTTTATTTATTTATTTTTTTGTTTATTGTCTTTTTACTATACCAAATTGAATTGTAGGTACAAAATGAAAGTTAAGATGAACACGAACTTTGGAGCTACTCTGTAATGTCATTCTGCTAACAATTTCTGAAATGTAGTCGTTTTTGTTCGTTTCACAAAGGTTCAATAAAAGTTCTTAAAAAAAAAAATAAAATAAAAAAAAAAAAGATAGTACGTACGGAGCCCCTAAAGGGACATGGGAGGGGAAAAAAACTATTGCGAGATCTCGCAAAACCTTTTGCGAGATCTCGCATTACTTTTGCGAGATCTCGCAAAGTTTCCCATGACAGTGAACCGGAAGATAAACAAACACACAACAACATGGAGGAGCGTCCATATCATTCGTGGGGGAAGTTTATAGATTTTTATTTTGATATTGGCTTAACATACAAAGACATTAAATTCGTTCTTGGCTGCAGACATGGCGTTGATATAAGTGAGAGACAATTGAAAAGAATTCTCAGTGCGAGGGGACTTTCTCGTCGTGAAAGTTACTGTGATATTGCGGACTTGGTTGAATTCATTAGCAACGAGCTACAGTACTTTGGCCAGCTTCACGGGTACCGCTGGATGTACGCCAAGTGTCGAGAACATGGATTACGAGCAAAGAAGGAAGATGTGAGGCTGGTGTTGAAGGAGCTAGATCCGAGAGGAGTGTCAATGAGGCAAGCAAGACGACGACGGAACTATTTTTCAAAAGGCCCGAACTTCATATGGCACATTGACAGCTATGACAAACTGAAGCCATATGGCTTTTGCATCAACGGATGTATCGATGGGTTTTCCCGAAAAACAATCTGGCTTAATGCCTATATAACGAGTAGTGACCCAAAGTTGATCGGGGGTTATTACGTTGATGCGGTCCAACGTTTAGAGGGATGCCCTAGGATTGTGAGAGGCGATCTCGGGACAGAAAACGGCCATGTCAGAGGCTTTCAGCGGTTCCTTGTCCCCATTAATCTAGACGGCTCTGTCGACAGCTACCTGGAGGGAGCAAGCACCGCCAATCAACGGATTGAGTATTGGTGGGGGTTTCTGCGCAACCAGTGTGTGGAATTCTGGATGTCTGTTTGCAGACATGAGAGACAATGGATTTTTTGACGGCGGTTATCTGGACAAGGCTATTCTTCAGTTTTGTTGCATGGGACTCATCCAGGTGAGAGAGAGAGAGAGAGAGAGAGAGAGTGTGTGTGTGTGTGTGTGTGTGTGTGTGTGAGAGAGAGAGAGAGAGAGAGAGAGAGAGAGAGAGAGAGAGAGAGAGAGAGAGAGAGAGAGAGAAGGAGCTAGAGAAAGGGATGAATAATAGAATGGAGCAGAGACAGAATGTGAGGAAGGAGGGAAGGAAGGATGAAGGGAGGAGGGAAGGATGGAGGGAGGGAAGGAAGGATGAGGGAGAGGAGGGAGGAAGGATGGAGGGAGAGGAGATAAAATACAGAGGGAGGAGAGAGAACATTTTTGCATTTTTAAAGTGTATATGAATGTGCAGTTTTTCCTAATTCTATTTGTTTATTCTTTTTAACAGGATGAGTTAGATGACACTGTCCAGGTTTGGAATGCACACGTCATCAGACCATCAAGGAACATCCATGTCCCAAGTGGTCGGCCCAATGTGATGTATGCATTGCCTCAGCTCAATGGGACCAGAGACTTTCTTTCCCCTGTTGAAGATGAACCTCTTCAGCTGTGCAAAGATGAATGCGTCTTTCGCCGGCCGATACCATGCGATCAAGATGTTTATGAACTATGCAACATCTTCATTGCGGAGTCCCATCTGACCTTGCCATCAGATCCCTATCAGGCTATGACTTTGTATAGGCACCTAAGAGAGGCCATCACTGCATCTTTGTGATTCAGGGATATTTCTTTATGCCCTGTATGGGAACAATAAAGTACCCACTATTTGATAGATAGTTGATTTATCATTTTAATTTTTCTTCTAAAAAATTCAAAAAATATTTTGCATTTCCCACTATAGGTTCATCTATTTCTCAAAACATGTTCATATATTGCAGTAGTTGACAGTGAAGATACAGTATGTGCAGATGAACAAACTCTGTAGCCAAGCTTGTGATGTCAGAGTGTAGCAGAAAATTTATTATTCTGTATGAACTGTAAAAAAACATGTGAAATCTGCTACCTTGAACTTGGCCATATCTGACTGGTTTGTCAATAAAAAACAAGTGATATAAAAATTTACACTGCAGTACTTATAGGTCACGTAATGACAAAATGCACTCACATTCAATAAAAATGTATGTGGTGGCATTAAGTTCCACTAGTAAATTAATGTAATGGAAATATTACAATCTTTCTGAAGGCCATCTCACACAGGCAACCGCAGCTTATACAGAACATTTTGTAAACAGGAACACTCATCTCTACAGTGAGTATCAAACTTTTTCTGAATAAGGAACATTCTGGTGTGAATTTCAATTGATATTCCACCTTTATGTAGAATTTTATCTTTAGTTATATTTCAGAAAAAAAAAACCTTGCCCTGTCATTCCCCTCATCTGGCTGCAGCCAGTTTGCTTTGGTTACACATTAAAACAAAGTAAATGGGAACAACGAGCATTTTGCTGGTTATATTCCCTTACATTGTTTTATGCTAAATTAGCGCAAACTGGCTGCTGCCAGATGGGAAGAATGACAGGTCAGGTTACTAAATGTTTTTTCCTAACTTTTCAAACTCAGGGGAATATGACAAAAGATAAAATTCTAAATAAAGGTGGAATATCCATTTGACATTAGCATTACACTAATGTTCTTTAAGGAACAAGTTCAGCAATGAAGCTGGGTTATACTCAAACTGGTGGAAATAAAAGCTGCAGTCATTTTCAAAGTATATTTCAAAACAAAATTACTGTAAAAACTATGGAGGTGTCCTATTACACCAATGAAAAAATCAAATTGCAAGCTAATATAAATTTAAATGAACAACTGCTTACTCCAATTTTCAGTGCATCAAGTTGTTTAAATTATAACAAAAAATAAATAAAATCAACCATACAATAAGGCCTATTACTATGTGGCCTTTTCAACATCACGTGCAAGTTCAAATAATGTCCATATCTAAGTAGTTGCTGGACAGGATATTGTCAAATTCTGTGCGGAATTCTGGGTAAGAACTGTATGTACATGGTACATCAAGTGTAGCTCCACAGGTGTGAGCAACAGGCCTTCTGTTGAGGCCAGTTTCTGCATTAAAGCTAACCATAATTTTCTCAACACAAATAACTGAGGAACCTGTGCAGAAACACAGGATTTTCTCAGCTTTGGCTTGATCAGCATTTTTCACATAACGCTGGAGATGGTAAAAGGTTGCTTGTTCTCTCTGAGACAGCACCACCTTTGTTGTTTCAAACAGTTGCATCACTCTTTTGCCTGTGGGCTTCTTTAACTCATACAGATTTAACACACTGTCCTTATCTGGTAGTTTCAGCTTTACATGTGACATGGGAGTGGAGAAGCAATCAACTATATACTTCGGCTCTTGGAGAATGGCTTTGTGGGCCATCATTTCTATGGCAGACTTCATGCCATTCTGTGGAGGTAAGGAATGAGAACCCATCCGTGTGAAAAGGTCCATCAAGTCCTCTTGATCACTTTCTTCCATTGTGCCCTGGAGAGCCTTCTCAACAGCTGATCTTTCGATAGGAGGCAGGTAGTTGAGAAACGATGACATCAAGGTCTCTGTATCAACGTAGTCAATTCCGTTGATGCATGCTAAAATGAAAGCCAGGGAAAGCTTCACTGGCATTACACCATGATCGAGAAATCCTTTTACCCAAATGCGTCCAACCGCTTGCCATTCAGCCTCAGAGAAATCTGGCCTCAGCCTTGGAACTCGCTCCATTTCCCCCTCACACTGTTCAAGAACTTGCTCCCAGAAGGCTGTGTACACCTCCCTAGACACACCAGCATCATCAACGGCTTTTTCGTTTACAAAATCCATCTTTAAAGTCACATTCATGATGCTGCTGTCGGTAAATACAGCCAAAAGATCATCGACAACCTTTATCCTGCAAATTGAAGCACGCCGCATGGTCTGTGGATTTCCTGCGATGCTGGACGATGTTGTTGAAGAAATCTGGCTGCTTGAATCCGATGGCAAATTCAGCTCACTGTCCAGCTGGAAGAACAAAATACATAAAAAACAGAGCGAGTGACTAATGAGTAAAGCAGAAGCCAAAGTAGCCCTTACCATGTTTGTGCCAAGGTTGAAGTAGCTTTGGGTCCTATGTTTCACATAAAAAGAAAACCCAAGCATATTTTATATGATGTCACAAACCCCCTCGTCAAACTGCTTTCTATTCAAAATGTGTGATCTCTTACCCCAGTACAAGATAACCTTGAGAACATCAAAGTTAAAATGGTGTGTCTTACCTGAGCAGTTTGCGCTGCCTCCTCACGTATGAATAGCTGCTCATCCAGTCCAGTTAGGCCATCGCCTGAAGGTGCTAGAAGCTGTATAACCTGTGTAGGGGCTCCACTCACCTCAGCAATCTGAAAAATATAATACATCCCAGAAGAAACATTAAAGCATAAATATATGATGTCATTGCTGACCTTTTTTATAGGTCTTTCTAAATTACTCTTCTTCAGTGTAACTTCTAGAAAAAAAAAATCAGAAATTCTCCACATACCATGTAAAAACTCACTTAGGTTTTGAGAAATGAAAACACTCTTACATTTTAGAGACATAACATTATAATAAATTCATAAGTCAGAGTTACAATTTCTGCATAATCCCAGGAATTAGATCAAAAGGCCCTAACTGAATTCCACTTTCACTAAAGATAATTATTTGTTTTCAGTACAAGTTGATCATGAGACACCAGTAAATATTTGAAATGAAAGTTCATGAAGAATATTTTCAAACAGAAAATCTTTCATACCTGTATGACATCATCTCCCTCAAAATGGTTAAAATTTACAACCACCACACCATCGTCATCGGAATCCCACACAAGTGTATCGGCCTCTTCAAACGGGGGCTTCGGTAAACTAAGCTCACTTCTGTTTTGTCTTTGTCCAATGTTACTACTTGTAATGTCTGTTGGGGTTGACTGAAAGGGATGTGGTGGACCTGGGCTTTGTGCTGTCTCCGTCTCAAGTATTTCCCTTCTCTTTTTTGATCTTGTTTGCATCTGAAAACACAGCAAAGACAGTAGGCTTTAATGTAGTATGCAGTAATATTAGAACATATTCCACATTTATTATAACATGCTGTGTAAGATTACACATTAAAACACAGTATATTAAACGTTATAATCCCTACTGACATATGAGTTTGACTTTTCTCTTTATTTTATCAGTGCCTGGTGCTTTAAGACCCATGACAAAAAGACATGCTGCACAGAGAAAACAATGAAGGTAAATTAATGTGCTGTTCCTCAAAACTTTAAATATTTACAATATATCATCCAACAACTCCAAAAGACTGAATAGAGAAGTTGTGACCTGTGCATTCACCACAGAATGAAATAATGAACATTACCCGAGTGTTTTTCGTGCCAAAAATAAAGCTGGAACATCATTTCAGACATCGCGCTGTAATGAGTGATTTCAAACAGCGCATGTTTAGTTCACCTCCATTGTGTTCACTGTGCAACACACACATCACCTCGAGAAATTAACAGGCACTGATAATTAAATGGAATTTACCTACGGTGCTCATATGACTATGGGGATTACAGAAATAGGCTAATTTAACAAATGCTGAACTATCGCTTAAGAATAACGCACATCTCGGCAATCATTTTTAGATTGTCCTGCATCTTGTCTCAGTCTCTATAATGCAATGGCAGAAAAACGTATATTAATGATATAATTGTGAGAAAGGTGTGTACCACAGACAGTCATACAACAATAATGCAAAACATAAAGCCTTGTTAGTATGTTGCAAGTCCGAGCAATCGGTCAAGGCTTAGAAACAGTGGTCAGAGACAAGGGTCACACAAGGGTCAAGAGGACAATAGTTCAGGACTTGCTGGTGAGGACAGAACTAGGCAAAGGGTCAAAAGACAGGCTGTCTTCTCTGGATCCACCCATGGACACACCCCTGGGCCCGCCCCTAACTCCACCTCTGGCGGGAAAAGAAGGACTGGCATGGAGTGAGGAAAGTCCAACTGGACCCAGAAGCTCTCAGGAATGCTGGAGGAAGATCTACAATTTGCTACCAACATGAAGATTTATGACCTGTGCTCTCATTCCAGGAGTGCAGCATGTAACTTTTGTGCCCTCATGTGAATACTGCATGTAGTGAAAATGATACCAAATGTCTTATGTAGAGCTAAAAAAGTGTATTTGGTAAATGACCCCTTGACCTAAACTGTCAGGAGAGAATGACTTGTGACTCTTACATTGTTTAGAGCAGTCTCAGAAATGATATAAAAGGATGCAGCTCAGATCGAGGAGGGCTTCGTGCTTGGGGAGATTCTGAGAAGACAAGAGCTAGTGTAAACTAACTCTTATTTAATCATTTTGAACTAATTCCTCCGTGGGGGATAGCAGTTGTTTTTCACTTTACCCATTTTTTGTATTTTGATTTTGTAATAAAACTTTTTTGAAAAAGAAACATAATCCTGATTCTTTCAGGTTTTCTCTAAAGCTTCACGTTTGGGGCCCTGGCCATAATTGCACAGAGGTAAGCATGTCGAAGATCGGTCTCTGAATTATCAGGACTTACTTTACAGTTTATAACAGAATAATATAAAGAAACCTTAAGATAAGGGAAGTTTTAACTTTCCCCTCCTTGCGAGTAACGAGTTGTCTTAAGGGCGATAAAAGCAAAATATTCGAGGTTATTTTGGCTCTGATTGCAGGTTGAAAAAGTCTCTAATCAGCTGGAAGGTTGGATTAATAAATAAATTGATAAAATTATGATAGCCTGATCAACTAGCATAAATCATTTTATAGTTACCAACCTCCCACATAAGCTGTTAGAGGCGCAATTAATTCCGGGTAATCCAAACAATTGCTGAGAGGCTTGGCTTGCCTCCAGACTTCTCTCTAGTATCTTAACCAAAAGGTAACGAGTTTAAAAGAAGTGTAATACTCTGGGGCTGGCTATTCGTGCAAGTCATTTCACCTTTAAAATAAAAGGCAAGATTCTAATTAGGTAGTCCAAACCCGGATCTAGTACGATTATACTCGTCGATACACCCCCGAACCCTGATGGATGCACCGTCTCATAAGTTCTAACGGAACTGGGTTTTAAAGGAACCGGTAAATGGGACGGGCACGCGACATGGCGCCTGCAACGTGGGGCTAATCGGCGAAGGTTCAAATATTAGATACCGGACTATTCGACGTAGAACTATGTCTTTTAGGCTGATAAAAGCTTACGCACCATGGACCTGATACGCTTATAACCTTGGAGTGAAAACCGCACCAATTTCTCGAAAAGGAAAGAAATTTGGGAGAACGGAAGATTAACTCAAAGAGGTATAAAGAAATCACGGCTTTCCGACGTAAGAAAAGCCAAGGATAAAAGCTAGGCAAAAAATAAAAAGGAATAAAGAGTAAGAATAAAGAATAAGACGTGAAAACGAATAAAAATAAAACAAATAATAAAAAAGAGAAACTTTCAACCAGCCATGGCAGATAGATCTTTAACGGTGAAACCGGAAAATGTTCTCCTTAATGTGAGATTTGTCACCGGAGAAATAGCGACATTTCAAGGTGAACCACAAAGCGTTTTAGCAGTATCCTGTAACCCGAGCTTTCAGAACGAGGCCGGAACGGCTCAAGCCGCAGCGGAGCGCTGTCCGAATGCTGAAACTCAAGTAAAGAATAATCATGTATTTCCGTTAGTGGGTGATTTGGTGATTCTAGCAGAACAACAAAATGATCCTGTTTTTAATCAGATAGCGTGGTGTTGTTGGGAAAATCCAGCGAAACTCCCCACGGGTGAGCAATATGAGATCCTTCTGGGATTGCTTGAGCAAATACCAACTGGACCGGAACCTTTAGTTCTCACTCCATTTGGAGTCGGGCAGTACCGATGTGATCAGGGAGCGATGTACTCTGCTATGGCGGAGTTCGTGGTTCAACGGGCTAATAGTAGAACAATTTACTTCTTATCTAGAAGCAAAAATGAGGCAATTCAAATGAGACAGGCGTTATGTAACCGACTGGGGATCACGGAGCTCCAAGCGGAAATGTACCGGAGAAGAGCTGCAGTCGAAATGTCGGCCTCCTGGGATGGAGTCCAATCGGTTCCGACCGCGCCCCCTTTGTATCCGCGGGGAATTCCCTGTGAGCCCCGGTTCCGAGAGCGGATTTCCTCCACCCCCACCGAACCCGCCTGACGCGGTTCGGCCGGCGCAGTGGAACCCGTTTCTACATGTACAAACCCCTTCTCAGGTGCCCATGAGAGGAGCGGAGAGACCGCCCACTGAACAGCATGTTGCTGCATGGGACAAAGACGAGACTCAGAGACGGTCAGGGGCTGAAAGGACTCCAAACCCAATTCCTTTTCCCCCGTTAGAACCGCATAGTCCCGCGGCTCCTCCGAATCATGTTACGATAGGTCAAGAACCGGTGATAATTTTGTCAGGCGAGAAAATAGATGCGGAGATCCGAGAAGAAGATGTGTTGATCTTTCTGAAAGATCCACAAAGTTCTGCCAGTACTACGTCCTCTTTAAGTTCTCTGAGGAGACTTTTAGGGGCAGAAAGCAGAAGCTCTATGATCCCGCTGGTAGATCGTAATTACGAAGCAGGAGAAATTACTACTCTCTTAGACAAGCAATTAGGGAATCTGGAAGGTCGTGTCAGCACGATTTCCATAATTAACATAGACCCTCATAATCCCGACATCTCTTTTCACCAAGCTTGGGAGCGGGTGGTGTCAGAAGCCTTGGATTTAGGAGCGCGACGGCTAGTGTTTAAGCTTAATAACAAACCCCAGGTGTGTCGGATAACTGAAGCATATGGCGCAGGTTTAGTGATTTATTCCGAAGCCTCTAGCAGGCTAGGAGACATCCCGGTCGTAATTTTAGTGGATAAGTCAGCCTTGCCGCGAGTAGAGAAGAAAGTCAAACATTGGTTTGAGGCCAGAGACAGAAGCAGCGAGAGTGAGGCTGAATCGGAGGAAGAACAGGGTTCCCAACTGGTGGTGCGTGGCACACCCAAAGGGACGCTCAGGTCAGAATGCGGATCCCAACAAAAATGCAGCACTCGGATCCCTGGAGGCAAAACACCTGAAAAAGTGAGTTGGTTATCCCCAGTTACAGCCCATGAGCAAGGTGAGAACAGAGAAAATGTAGAGCAGCAACCCCAGAGAGCAGAAAAAGAAGATGAGACAAATCCTATGGTTTATGGCATTAGAGGACTAAATAAGAAAAGCCGTCCAGTACAGATGAAATATTATGACCCTCAGGCACCTCCTAACATAGGCCCAGTTAGACCGGTTCCAGAACCAGGACGAGGCCAGTTTGCAATTAATACAGAGGGAGACCAGAATTATGCAGGAGAAGTAGCAGAAAATCCTTTTCCAGACTGGTACCCTGTAGATGGCTTCACGGCTTCAGCAATTCAAGCTGCAAAAAGTAGGGAAGAAGTCATGTTGCAACCAGGATGGGGGCAACCTTTTAAGCATGCTTATTTAGGCCAAGGATATGATTTTTATCGAGGTGGATGTATGGCTAGAGATTCGGCAGTGAAAACTCACTGCTACTCGCCGTGCAGCCCCTCCCAACCTTTGGATGTAAACCGAAGCACTCCGCAGGGAGGACAGCTTAATCCAATGCCTAAAGAGAGAATCCTAGAACAGGAATATTCCCCATATTGGCAAACTGCTCAGGAACAGTCAAGAGTAAGCTTAGGACATTTTGATCATACCATTCTGCCACAAAGAGCATTGGGTGAGACAGACGCTGGTTATGTACAGAGACTTCAGGATCGAGGTATGACGATTGAACAACTTTCAAGTCCAGAAATTTCTCAGGTTATAGCATTAAAGAACGATATGCGTTTAACCCCAGGAGCCTCGTTGATGTCCCTGGCGGAGAGTTCTCCCAGAGGGATTGGTGAGGATTCTGGTGAACGACGGAGGAAAGCTTTAAGCGCTGAAATCAGTACAGGAAAAGTTACATTAGCTGGGTGTTTGGGAACAATCGCAGGGCTTTCCCAAGTACAGCAGGAAAAACTTTTAGCTGATCTGCCCGGGGGATTAATGATGGCTGCGATGTGGCCTAATCTCTCTCCTGCAGAAAAAATCAGACAAGCGCAGGCGTGGGATCGCACGAGGGAATTTAAGCAGTCAAAAAACGAATTAGGACGGCAGGCCGGAAACAGATTGAAAGGTCAGATATCATCCCCTCTGCCCCCTCCACACCAACAGCAAGGGAGCCAATCAGTGAGCTCTCAACCGAGGCAACTCCCACCCAGAACAGAACCGAATCAGAACCAGAGAACCAGGGGCCAAATGGACCCAAATGCAAGGCCGTTTTTCATGGGACCCCCCGGCTGCCCTGTGGCTCGACCCAGGAGAGCGAATCCGGAGGAGTGGGCCCGGATGACCAGAGAACAGAAAGAGAAATTGATCCAATCAATCAAAGATTGGGACGCGAAATACCACAATCAGAGAAGACCGCCACCACAAAAGTAGAAATAATTGAGGCGCTCTCATCTCATACGCATTGGGATGGGGAGTGGCTTAAAGTAAAATATGAAAATACAAAATACATTTTAGATACCGGGGCATTAATATCAGTAAAGCGTGAAAATAATCCGATGGAACAAATAGGATACAAGAATGTGATACTCGCAGACGGCTCTGTACGTAACATGGCAGTTCATAAAGACGAACAGGGAATTCTTTACATAAAAGGTGCAGAAAACTTAATTAGTTTAAAGGATTTAGTTAAA